CCCTTCTATTCACACATATATAAGTCGATCTCATAGAATCGTGGAAGGGGCTACAAGGGCCATTTGGTTCAGAGTGCTCTGTGATTGTAGATGAACTACAAATCCCAGCAACTACAACTCCCAAATGTCAAGATTCTATTTTCCCCAAACTCCACCACTGCTCACTATAGGAGTTCAAGTGAGCGTCACACTGCATTGATAGGAAAGTGTCATGGAACCGGGAAACTTTGATAGGAGAGCCCCCTTTAAAAAGGCAGCCATGTAGAGGGAATCCATGCATTCCTATGAAACCTCCGATCAGGGATGTGGTCTTTGGGCAGCCTTTCATGCGCAACCAATGGCCCCATGGCTGCAAATTACCCTTTGAACCGCACCATGCGATCAGTTGGTTTCCAGGGCAAAACAAGGGCATCCAGAGATTCTGCTGATTTCTTTCCTTCGTGTTTCTCCCACGGAAGGTGGTGATGATGATAACGGTGAAATTTAGTATTATTATTATTATTATTATTATTATTATTATTATTAAATTCATCATCATCATTATTTTAATTAAATAGTAGTCATAGTATTAAATTTATTATTATTATTAATTTATTACTATTAAATGTATTATCATTATGTTTTATTAAATTCAGTATTAAATATTATTAAATTTATCATCATTATTTTTGTCACATTAATTATTAAATATTATTATTACATTTATCACCATTATTTTTATTACATTTATTACTATTATCCTCATCATTTTTATTAGACTTATTATTATTAAATATATTATTACATTTATTATTATCAAATTGATCATCATCATTTTATTACATTTATTATTATTAAAATTATTATTAAATTTATTATTATTATTATTATTATTAAATGTATCATTATTTTTATTACATGCATGGATGCCCTGGTGATCTTGTGCGTTGTGTATAAAATCCAAGCAGATCGCATTTGTACTTTAAAAAAAATATTGTTTGTAAAAATATTCAAAAATTCCCCAAAAATCAGTGGATGAGTGTAACATTCCAAAACTTCCAGGGAGGGATGCCCTGGTGACCTTGTGCATTGTGTATAAAATCCAAGTCAATCGCTCTTGTAGTTTTGTTGTTTTTTTTAAAAAAATATTGTTTGTAAAAAATTCAAAAAATCCCCCCAAATTAGTGGACGTGTGTAACATTCTGAAACTTGGTGGGATAACAATGGGAAAGGTGTGGTATATACAATGATAGTGAGTTTCATCACAATAGTTCTGAAAACAAGGGAGAAACAAGCCCACTTGCTTGATCCCTTAATGGCAGAAAGTAACAAAAAAAAAGTTACTTCGTTATTGGGTTGCTGTGAGTTTTCCATGTTCCAGAAGCATTCTCTCCTGATGTTTTGCCCACATCTATACCAGGCATCCTCAGAGATTGAAGGGTCCGTTGGAAACTGGGCAAGCGGCGTTTATATGTCTGTGGGATGTCCAAGGTGGAGGGAAAGAACTCTCATCTGTTGGAGGCAAGTGCGATTGTTGCCGTTGCCCAACTTGTTTAGCATGGAATGGCCTTGCAGCTTCAAAGTCTGGCTGCTTCCTTCCTGGGGGAATCCTTTGTTGAGAGGTGATTTGCTGTTCCTGATGGTTTCTTGTCTGAAGTTCCCAGTTTTTGAGCGTTGTTCTTCATTTACTGCCCTGATTTTAGGGGTTTTTTTAAATACTGGTAGCCAGATTTTGTTCATTTTCATAGTTCCTTTCTGTTGAAATTGTCCACATGCTTGTGGATTTCAACGGCTACTCTGTGTAGTCGGACATGGTGGTTGTTAGAGAGGTCCAGCATTTCTGTGTTTTCAAATAATATTCAATGTCTAGGTTGGTTCATCAGGGGCTCTGCTATGGCCGACTTCTCTGCTTGGATTAGTCTGCAGTGTCTTTCGTGTTCTATGATTCACGCCTGGGCAATGTTTGGGGGTCCCTATGGAGACTTCTTGTCCATAGCTGCATGGTAGATGGTAGACTCTTGCAGAGGTGAGAGGATCCCTCTATTTTGCTGAACGGAGCATTTGTTGGATTTTCTTGTAGATCCTCTGTATGTTGTTTTTCTTCCTCAGCTTGTTCAATTCATGGTTAAATGGTTCTAAAGTACTTACAAAACTAAAGTTCTGGTGGTGAAAATTTCAGAACTCTAACAAAACTCTCAAATTTTCATTATTAATGGCAGTTCCTAATGAGTTCTGTCATAAAAATTGCCAATAACAAAATAATAATTAAACTTTGAAAGAGTTCTGAAATTTTCACCACCAGAACTTTAGTTTTGTAAGAACCATTTAGAACCATGCATTGAACAGGCCTATTCCCTCTGCAGCCTGTGGTTCCCTTGATGTATGGTAAGAACCCTTTTCCTCTGGGTGGATCTTTGTCTTGACTCTTGTGGCTTGTTCTTGGTTTTGCACCTCTTCTGATGTCTGTTTGCAAACACAGAAACGCTGGGCCACTCTCACAACCACCATGTCAGACTACACAGAGAAGCCATTGAAATCCATAAGCATGTGGACCATTTCAACAGAAAGGAAGAAACCATGAAAATGAACACAATCTGGCTACCAGTATTTTTTTTTAAAAACTCTAAAAGCAGGACAGTAAATAAAGAGCAAAACTCAAAAAGCAGGGGAATTCCAGACAAGAATCAATCAGAGCCATCTAACACCTCCCAACAAAGGATTCCCCCAGGCAGCAACCAGCCAGGCCTTGAAACTGCGGGCTATTAAATGCTAATCAAGGTGGCAAATTACATTCACATGTAATTCACATGTATCTCTAGCAGACAAGAGTTTTTTACCCTACCCTGGACTTTCCACAGATATATAAACCTCACTTAGTTTCCAACAGACCCCTCAACCTCTGAGGATGCCTGCCATAGATGTGGGCGAAACGTCAGGAGAGAATGCTTCTGGAACATGGCCATACAGTCTAGAAAACTCACCGCAATCCAGTGATTCCGGCCATGAAAGCCTTCAATAATAATAATAATAATAATAATAATAATAATAATAATAATAATCTTTATTTATACCCCGCCTGCCACCATCTCCCCAAAGGGGACTCAGGGCGGCTTACATGAGGCCAAGCCCAGAAATGAAATTACAATACAGTAACAAAAAACATAAGGCAATATCATAATAAAATAAAATAAGACAAGCATAAAATATAACAAAACAATACAAAATAAAACACAATCACAACAATACTTCATTATTGTTGCAAAATTGTTAGGTCCATAATTTTGGAAACACCCTTAAAAACACCCCTCCCCAATTTCATAAGGAGTATTGAAACATTTTTTAATTGATCACACAGCCCTAGTTTGTGTGTGTGTGTGTGTGTGTGTGTGTAGGTTTGCCCAGTGGCGGAAGGCTGAAATCCAATCGGGGATTATCCTGGCCTGAAAGACAGATGTACATGGTTGGCTAATGAATTACTCCCATCGGAGACCTCACCTGGCTTGACCTTCCTTTACCTTGTCCCCTCCTCATCCTCGTTTGACCTTGGCCGCATCTATCTCCATTGCTTTGTGCGATGGGGATCCTGGGAGTTGTAGTTTGACACGATCGTGCCAAAGAGGGAGTTAATAAATCAACGGTCCCAGATGCAAATGCTCCAAAACCTATGTCTTTGTGCACTTAGATATGCTGTGGTGTCGGCATTTCTTTTGCCTGACGTGGAGGGATATCTGAAAACAACTGTGTGTAAGATGGTGTCAAGATGGTTTCACATACTATTATTTGGTTCACCGTTGGAAGAAAGCAAATGCGGTTGCTTCTCTCTTTGGTTCAGGGATTGATGTTGTTGGTTCTCTTTGGTGGGATGTTGAGGTCAAAGGGATGGTGTTGATGATCCGTCTCTATTTGGAGGGATGCTGAAGTGATTCTGTTGATGATCTTTCTTGATGGGATGTTGAGGTCAAAGGGATGATGTTGATGGCCCTTCTTTCTTTGGTGGGGCATTAAGGTTGAAGGGATAGTGTTGATACCCCTTCTGTCTTTGGTGAGGTGATGATGTTAATGGTCCTCTCATTGGTGGGACATTGAAGTGGAATATTGAAGCTTTAAGGGATGGTGTTGATGGTCCTCTCATTGGTGGGATATTGAAGCTTTAAAGGATGGTGTTGATGGTTCTGTCTTTGGTGGGACATTGGGGCTGGAGGCCTTTCTTTGGTGAGATGTTGAGATTGAAGGGATGATGTTAATGGTCTTTTCTTTGGTTGGATGTTGAGGTTCAGGGGTTGATGTTGGTTCTCTCTTTGGTGGTTGAAGGGATGATGTTGATGGTCCTTCTCTATTTGATGGGACATTGAGATTGAAGGGATGATATTGATGGTCTTTCTTTAGTGGGATGTTGAAGTTTTAAGGGATGGTGTTGATAGTTCTTCTCTTTTTGGTGCGATGCTGACCTCAAAAGCAATGGTTCTCAACCCATTGGTTCCCTAGAAGTTTTGGCCTTTAACTCCCAGAAATCCTGGAAACAGCTGGTAAACTGGCTGGGATTTCTGGGAGTTGTAGACCAAAACACCTGGGGACCCACAGGTTGGGAACCACTGCTCAAAAGGATTATGTTGATGGTCCCTCTCTCTTTAGTGCAGTGGTTCTCAACCTGTGGGTCCCCAGGTGTTTTGGCCTACAACTCCCAGAAATCCCAGCCAGTTTACCAGCTGTTAGGATTTCTGGGAGTTGAAGGCCAAAACATCTGGGGACCCACAGATTGAGAACCACTGTGTTAGTGGGACATTGAGGTCAAAGGGATGGTGTTAATGGCCCTTCTCTATTTGGTGGGACATTGAGATGGGATATTGAAGCTTTAAGGGATTATGTTGATGTTGCTTCTCTCTTTGGTAGGATGCTGAGCTCAAATGGATGATGGTCGTGGTCCTTCACTCTTTGGTGGGAATTATGGTGTTGTTGGCCTTTTTCTCTTTGGTGGGATTATGATGTTGACGCTGTTTCTCTCTTTCCTGCTTCTCCCTCAGGATGAGTTCCATCCCTTCATTGAGGCCCTTCTTCCCCACGTCCGGGCCTTCGCATACACCTGGTTTAACCTCCAGGCCCGAAAGCGCAAGTACTTCAAGAAGCACGAGAAGCGGATGACCAAGGACGAGGAGCGGGCGGTCAAGGATGAGCTGCTGAATGAGAAGCCCGAGGTGAAGCAGAAGTGGGCCTCACGCTTGCTGGCCAAGCTGCGCAAGGACATCCGGCCCGAGTACCGCGAGGACTTTGTCCTCTCCATCACTGGCAAGAAGTCCTCCTGCTGTGTGCTCTCTAACCCGGACCAGAAGGGCAAGATGCGCCGCATCGACTGCCTGCGCCAGGCCGACAAAGTCTGGCGCCTGGACCTGGTCATGGTGATCCTTTTCAAGGGAATCCCGTTGGAGAGCACCGATGGGGAGCGCCTGGTGAAGGCCCCGCAATGCACCAACCCCATTCTCTGCGTCCAGCCCCACCACATCAGCGTCTCGGTCAAGGAGCTCGACCTCTACTTGGCGTATTTTGTCCGTGAGAGAGGTAAACATGTGTGTATGTGTGTGTGTGTGGGGGGGGGGGTGCTTACGGGCCACTTGGGTTGGATCTACACTGTCATATAATGCGCTTCTATGGGTCTGCTCTGCATCTTGTAAAGCACTTCTGCATTAATGCATTGAACGGGTTGTTTCTGTGCGCTGACCTTGACCCCAGTCGTCTGGGACTCGGAATGAGCCTTGAAATAATCACCTGATCCCTCTAATTGGTCACAAACCTCAGGCAGTAAATATGCGGCTGATAAGAGCTTCTCGGGGCTGTCACTTTCCCTGGGCTGGAAGGCATTCTCCCTCCTTCCTTCCTTCTCTCTCTCTCTCCCTTTTTAAGGTGGAGCCCAGCTCCTGTTTAAGGCAGCATGGAGAAGTACATTTGCCATTTTTTTCTCTGCAGCAACTAAACAAAAATAATCCTATAATCGTTTGGGTGGAATCTCTTTTCCTGGAGTTTGAATCCATGTCTTATAGTGCCTCGCTCCCTCTTCCATAGGACACCCTTGTGACACGTTCTTCCTAATGTAGAAGCTCTGAAATATGATACCTTTTGGGATTGTGAATCCCAGAATCCCCAAGCTGACTTCCAGATTCTGGGAGCTGTGTTGGGAAAAAAAGTAATTTGTTTTGGAGTTTCGCAAGTATGGAGAAACTTTGAGAGAGACGAAACCCAGTTGATGCAGATTTTTCACAGCGAAGGACTTTTTCAATGCAAAATTCGCCTGAAGGTGTTTTTGTGTGGAAAATACTATTTTCCGAATGCAGCATGGCAAGGATATTGTGAAATTTTGCATTTTGGGTTTTCTGATGGTTGCCAACCAGTCAGGGAAACTCGATATATGCTATATATTAACAATAGCACTTCTTATCTAATTGTGTTTACTGTGCAAACTTAGGAACATATATCGAGTTTGGCTGGACCAAAGACCTTTGTGATCGCTGCCAACCAATCCAGGATCCTGTACTAATGATGATGATATCATGCACTTCTTAGCCCGTTGTGTTTGCTGAATGAATTTCGCATATAGAGAGTTTTGCTGAACTTAGAATCATAAATAATAACTTGAACCCTTCCTGATGGTTGCCAAACAATCAGGAATCCTGTCTTAGCGGCGATGATGTCATAGCATCCTAGAGTTGCAAGGAGAGCCCATAGGAGCCATCTAGTCCAACCCACTTCTTAGTAAATTGTGTTTGTCAGGTAAACTTCACATATAAGGAGTTTTCCTCCCTGAATGTGGCCACCCATTCTCTGAGTGACAAATCTCCTTCAGGAGAGGAGTGACAAATCTCCTTCAGGAGAGATAAAGCGGGGTATTATTATTATTATTAATATTAATAATAATAATAATAATAATAATGACATCACAGACCTTCCTAACCCGATGAGTTTGCTATATGAGTTTAGGACCATTTTGTTATAGCAGTTGGATGGGACCAAAGACTGATTGAGCCCAGTCTGCTAATGGTGCCCAACCAGTTCTGTCTAGAATGCACTCTCTTGCTTGTATCCTCTAGCGCCGAGTTCATCCAAAATATCAGGAGGCTTTAATCTTCGGCATCCCACTATTTACAGCTGTACACAGATCCATAATTATGATACACAGATGTGTCATGGCTGGTAGGAATGAGAGAAAGGGCCTTTCACATGATCGTCCCCCGCCTCTGGAACTCCCTCCTTAAAGAAATAAAAGTGACTTCCTCCCTTCTCTCTTTCAAAAAATAGTTAAAACCCTATTTATTTATTTATTTATTTATTGTTTAAAGTATTTATACCCCACCCTTATCACCTCGAATTGGACTCAGAGCGGCTTTACAGAACACACATACAACAAACATTCAATGCACAACACAGAAGTAAAGGCAGTTTTTCCCATCTTATTTCCGGCATCTTGGAGGCTGTGTTTGACTCCAGCCATCAGGGGAGGGTGTGCTGTCTCCATCTTCCATGCCAAGGAGCTTTCCTCCAATCCATGCCCTTTAAGGGTGCCTTTATTACTCCCTGCTAAAAGCGGTACCTATTTTATCTACTTGCATTTCTGCTTTCAACCTGCTAGGTGAACAGGTGAGTTGGGGCTAACGGCGGGTGCTCACCCAGCCCCGGGCTCAAACTGTTGATCTTCTGATCAACAGGATTTTTCTGCAGCACAACGGCTTTGCCTGCTGTGCTAAGCCCGGCCATGTGCTCATTAGCATATAGAGAGGAGGAGGACTAGACTAGTTAATACACCTTTGACTGGAAACTATTATTGTACCCCGGCCTTGTCGGTTTGGTTGGTGCTGTTGACATCATGGCAACATAATTAATTTTGACTCTCTTAATTGAACTTTTAGTCATTCTGGAATTTGAGGTTAATGTTTTTAGGTTAGTTATAATTTAATTGATTATGTAATTTTAGTTTTAGGTTACAATTCGCTGTTAAATGTTGGTTTCTTTTGGGATTTGGGTGGGTTGTTACTGTATTTGTGTCATGGCTGTTTTCAAGGCATTGAATATTTACCTTTTTCTGTGTCTTTGCTGGAATCTGAATCCCCTCGGGGAGATAGGGTGGAATACAAATAAAGTATTATTCTCATTTATTATTACAAACGAGACTCAGGATGAGATTCAGCAAGAGACACACAGAGAAAGAGAGTCATGGAAAAGAGAAAGAGGGAGCATTTCACTCTCCTTTGATAACTACCTGATGGCTTGTCATCAGTACGGGACAAATGAATGATACAACCTCTAGTCATAAACCTCACATGATTATGACTCAGCCAGTTCTGCAATCATCTCAGTCATTCCACAGAAGTTGATCACATGTCCATTAGAACTGTATTTTCACATAGATGAAATGCTACGGCATTTCTGTCCCACAAAATCTTTCCGAGGCAGGACTCACTCTTGTCTGGACGTCTATCCACCAGGATGGTACGAATAGGGTCTTCTTGCGTGGTCGGATGGGTGGCCATTAGTGTCTCTTCTATGAGTCTTGCTTTGTCTGTGCCAGGGATGGTGAAAGCCGAGAGACGATCAGTTGGCTGGCCGTCATTAAGATGCGGCTCCCGTTGTCTCTGACATTATCAGTCTGGACCAGTTGCCATCGCTCCCCCTTCTCTCCTCTCCCTTCCTTGCGATGATACTCTGCGTCAGCAGAATTTCTCTGAAACAACTCCAGAGGCGGTTATCTCCAACGGAGAGCTTTGCCGCGGAGTGTGGGTCATAAGAGAGTCCCATCCCGCCCAAGAATCCCATACTGGGTTCCGAACCCCTGTCCTGTATCCTATAATAGGATCTGAACTCGGGGGTCTCCCTTCCTTTGAGGTGCATTTTCCCCGTTTTCAAGAGGTGGGATTTTGTGACTGCAGTGGACAGGAGGAGGTCAGGGCTGAAAGTCAAAAGCTGTGCAGCGTAATGGTAATCAATCTCCCGCCATCGATCAAATGCGTTGTGTCGCAGCCGTTCTGGCAAGGAAATGCCCTTGCGCACTGGAACAGGGAGAGGGAAGAATAAGGGAATGAGAAAAAGGGCTTTCGGAGGAGAGGATGCAGCCAAAATGACATGGCGAAGAACTGACCGTGGGCCAGATCTGAGAGCATTCCTCTCTTGCTGTCCAGAGAGGTTCTGTGTGCACATTCGTAGTGCAATGGTGCTAGTTTAACTCCCATGACACCCACTTATGGAATAGATGCAGGCGAAACATCAGGAGAGAATGCTTCTAGAACATAGCCATATAGCCCGAAAAACCTACAACAACCCAGTGATTCCAGCCATGAAAGCCTTCAACAATACAATAATAATAATAATAGTAATAATAACAATAATAATATAAACTACTACTACTAATAGCTAGTAGTAGTAGTAGTAGTAGTAGTAGTAGTATCATTGCCATCATCGTCAACCTGATCCAAATGGCCACAAGGTCTTAAGTCAGTAGTTCTCAACCTGTGGGTCCCCAGGTGTTTTGGCCTACAACTCCCAGAAATCCCAGCCAGTTTACTAGCTGTATGGATTTCTGGGAGTTGAAGGCCAAAACATCTGGTTGAGAACCACTGTCTTAAGCTATTATTATCACTATGTTTATTGTTGTTGTTATGGGCTATTTGAAAAAATCATTTTTTTAATTGTACAAAATGCATAAGGTTGTGGGTAAACTACAACTCATATCATGCCAGGTTAACCACAAGAAACTCGATCAGTACCTAAAGTTGGTTATCTTGGGAAAGTTTGCTCAAGATGCATCATCGGTGGGGTTCAGTGTGCTCTCTGGCTGCAGGGTAAACTACAACTCCCACCATGGTGAGTCAGTCCTCTCAAACCCCTCCAGTAGGTTGAGTTGATCATGGGGATTCTGTGTGCCAAGTTTAGTCCAGGTCCATCATCAATGGAGATCACAAGTTTCCCTGGTTGTGGGTGAACTTCAACTCCCAGAGAGAAAGGCCAGTTCCCCCCAAAACCCTCCAGTAATCAAATTTCGGCATATCATGTATGTGTGCCAAGTTTGGTCCAGATGTATCGGTGTTCGGATTCACAGTGCTCACTGGATGTAGGTGAACTACAACTCCTCCAAAATCAAGGTGAATTTCCCTGGTCACGGAGCCTCTGTGTGCCAAATTTGGTCCAATTCCATCTTTGATGGAGTTCAGAGTGCTCATTGATTGCAGGTAAACTATAAATCCCAGTAAACCATAAATGTCCAGGCCAATTCCCCTCAAAACCCACCAGTATTCAATATCTTATGTGTGCCAAGTTTGGTCCAGATTCATCATTGTTTGGGTTCATAGTGCATTCTGGATGTAGGTGAACTATAACTCCTCTAAATCTCTCCAAAGACCTCCAGTATTCTTTGTTGGTCATGGGGGCTCTGTGTGCCAAGTTACTTCCAGGTCCACATTGGGTAGAGTTCAGATTGCAGTTCTTAGATTGCAGGTGAACTATACATCCCAGAACCTACAACTATAAATCATGTTGAATTCGCCCCAAACCTCTGTAGTATGTTCTCCCTTGACTTT